TCAAAGAGTCACAACAATTCCCATCTATCTAATCACACAGTCCTTTCTCAGGCCTTCAGAATAACATTCTCTCTGCTCGCCTAGAAAACAACTTGTCAGCATAGCACAGATACTATATACAAAGAAACAAAATGAAACCTCTCTGGCTTATTTCTTAATTACAAAACCTATATGCCTTTAAAAGATTTTAACTCAAAAACCCATCTCATCACAAGGTCCCTCCCATTTTTGTCCTTTATCATGTCCACCTTTGCACAAAATGTTCCTTTAATATCTCCAATTTTCTTGAACAGATCTCTGGTTTTTCCCTTTCTATTCTTTCTATTCCTCGATTTCTTTGCACTGTTCATTTAAGAAGGCCCTCTTGTCTCTCCTTGCTATTCTTTGGAAGTCTGCATTCCATTTTCTGTAACTTTCCTTATCCCCTTGCATTTTGTTTCCCTTCTCTTTCCTGTTGTTTGTAAGGCCTCGTTGGACAATCACTTTGCTTTCTTGCATTTCCTTTTCTTTGGGATGGTTTTTGTTGCTGCCTCCTCTACAAAGTTACGAGCCTATATCCATAGATCTTCTGGCATTCTGTCCATCAAATCTAGTTCCTTAAATCAGTTCTTTACATCCACTGTGTATTCATAAGGGATTTGGTTTAGATCACTGGTTCTTAACCTTGGGTTACTCAGGAGTTTTGGACTGCAACTCCCAGAAGCCTTCACCACCAGCTGTCCTGACTGGGGTTTCTGGGAGTTGCAGTTCAAAAGCATCCGAGTAACAAAGGTTAAGAACCACTGGTTTAGATTATACCTGACTAGCCCCGTGGTTTTTCCTACTTTCTTCAGTTTAAGCTTGAATTTTGTTATAAGAACCTGATGATCAGAGCTACAATCAGCTCCAGGTCATGTTTTTGCTGACTGTAGAGCTTCTCCATCTTTGGCTGCAGAGAATATAATCAATCTGATTTTGGTATTGCCCATCTGGTGATGTCCATGTGTAGATGTCCATGCCTCTTGTGTTGTTGGAAAAGTGTATTTGGGATGTCCAACTTGTTCTCTTGACAAAATTCTATTAGTCTTTGCCCTGCTTTGTTTTGAAGTCCAAGGCCAAACTTTCCTTTTGTTCCTTTTATCTCTTGACTCGCTGCTTTAGGATTCCAATCCTCTATAATGAGAAGAACATCTTTCTTTGGTATCAGTTCTAGAAGGTGTAGTAATTCTTCATAGTACTCGTCAGTTTCAACCTCTTCAGCATGGGTGGTTCGTGCATAAACATGGATTACTGTGATGTCGAAAGGTCTGCCTTGGATTTGTATTGAAATCATTCTTGAGATTGTATCCCTGTACAGCTTTTCCCACTCTTTTGTTGACTATGAGGGTTACTCCATTTCTTCTACAGGATTTTTGCCCACAATAGTAGTTATGATAATCGTCTGAATTGAATTCGCCCATTCCCGTCCATTTTAGTTCACCGATGCCCAGGATGTCAGTGTTTGTTCTTGCCATCTTCTGTTTGACCACATCCAGCTTACCAAGGTTCATAGATCTTACATTCCAGGTTCCTAATCAGTGTTTTTCTTTGTAGCATCGGACTTTCCTTTCACTTCCTGGCACGTCCGCAGCTAAGCGTCCTTTCGGCTTTGGCCCAACCACTTCGTTAACTCTGGAGCTATTTGTCCTTGTCCTCTGCTTTTCCTCAGTAGCGTGTTGGACGCCTTCCGACATGAGGGGCTCATCTTCCAATGTTATATCTTTTAGCCTTTTGTTTCTGTTCATGGGGTTTTCTTGGAATAGATGCTGGAGTGGCTTGCCAGTTCCTACTCCATGTGGATCGCGTTTAGTCAGAACTCTTCACTATGCCCTGTCTGTTTTGGGTGGCCCTGCACAGCATAGCCCATAGCTTCTCTGAGTTACTCAAGCCCCTTCGCCACAACAAGGCAGCAATCCTTGAAGGGGGAACCAAGATATATAGAGTCTTTAACACATTTTATTTCTTCATTGTCAGTTGTGTAGTTCTTGTGTAATCATGATTTCATCTTAATGTTCAACTGCAGTTCTGCTTTGCCACTTTTTTCACTAAAATCATTTCATTGCTTCTTTTTTCATCATTTATCTTAAATTCTTGATGTTTCTTTCACCAGTTTCTACACATGTTTCATCTTAATCTAATCTGGCTTTCTGTGAACAAATTGAACAGATAAGGAAATAAGATGAACCCTTGTCTGACACATTTGGCTTACAGGAAACGATTCTGTATCTCCATGTTCTATCCTGGTGGTAGCTTCTTGCCTACAGGTTATTATACAGGTTATGCCTCAGGCCAGTCAGATTCTGAGGTACACCTATTTCTTTCAGGATGATCCACACATTCAAAAGCTTTGTTGTAGTCTATAAAGCATAAACTGATCTTCTTTTGAAATTATTTCATTTGCTCCAGTACCCACTGAACTTGAGTGCCTCTTCCTTTTCTGAATCCAGCTTGAACATGAGGCATTTCTCACTCCATATAAGGTAAAAGTCTTTGTTGCAACATCTTGAGCATCATTTTGCTTGCATGAAAAATTAAAGCAGTGGTCCTATAGTTACTGCACTCCTTAGCATCTCCCTTCTTGAGGAATGAATAATGAATGTTGTCAGTCTGTGGGCCATTGTTTTGTTTTCCATATTTGTTGGGATATTCTTGTTAACATTTAAAGTCTCTGCCTTTAAATATTGAATACCAATAAAATAGTCTACTCCATGTGATTTATTTAAAAGAGCCTCGTGGCGCAGTGGTTAAAACGCTGTACTGCAGCTAAAACTGTGCTCACGACCTGGGGTTCAAATCCCAGGTAGCCGGCTCAAGGTTGACTCAGCCTTCCATCCTTCCGTGGTCGGTAAAATGAGTACCCAGCTTCCTGGGGGGGCAATGTGTAGCCTGTATAATGAAATTGTAAACCGCCCGGAGAGTGCTTGTAGCACTATGGGGCAGTATATAAGTCCAAAAATAAATAAAAAATAAATAAAATAAATATTTCTACCTAGCGCTTTCGGAGCAGCATTCATTTCACTTTCTCAAACCATAGGTTCTTTGTCATAGGATTCCTCTTCAAAGGAACCGTGTAGGCCAGTAATAATTCTTCTGTGCAAATCTTTTGTATACTGTTTTTCTGGTAGAGGCTTTACGGCCTTTGAAGCTGTATTTTGGACATCTGTTTTAAGAAAGCGTAGGAGGAGTTGATTCAACCAATATTCGTAGTTGTAATATTCCAGTTGTACCTCTTTTGCCTCTTTATTGGCATTGAGAGGAAGCAAGGCAGCAGTGAGCAAAATAAAAGTGGAGAGAAGCAAAATATTATAGAACTTTGAAGAGAAATTTGTTCAGTGTGAGCTTTTGTGGATCAAAATCCATTTCTTCAGACACAATGACCAATACCTCTCTCTCTGTCTTTCTCTCTCATGTGGCTCATATTGAGAGTGGCTGGTGAAGAGTATACCAAGTATACTTCTGACCATTGGGATGTGGGTGAAAACATTTAAAACATAGGGTTTATGTGGAAAATAGTCCAGTTTGCTTTGTTTGCTTTAATTGATGTGTGCATAAGATTACCATATTTTTCCGTGTATAAGATGATACTTTTTCCTAAAATAGAGTAAAAAATGAGGGTTGTGTTATACACGGATGTAAGGGGGGAAGGGATCAAAGGGCTGCAGCATTGCAGCCCTTTGATCATGCAGCCCTTTCATCGCTGCTTTACCCAAAGTAGGAATGAAGTGGACGACCCCCACTTTTCTTATTTGGGGTTGGAAAAGTGGGATTCATCTTATACATTGGGTTGTCTTATACATGGAAAAATATGGTATGTTTTCTGAAAGGTAAAAATCAGCAACTAATAAACAGTTTGAAACATAGATTCTGCATAGAATTGAAAAGATTCCAAAGAGAGCCATGCTTTTGCAAGTTGAAACAAATCTAGCTTTGGTTTCTTTTTTGCCTGCCTTTATTGAATGCTCAAGGAGTGTGATGAAGTTATGGTATAAAAGTGTTAATTTATCTTGAAAAAAATTAGGAATTATTGTGGAGTACTGCAGCCCTGTTCTGTATTCTGAATTTTGAACTGCTTGATTTGTGTGCTTATATCTGACCATTTGTTTAGTAGATCTGTTTGCTTCACATTTTATATCTGTTTTTTCTTTATTTTGTAGATGATCCTTCTCCAACTAAAAGTGAAATCAGAACAGCCAACAAAAACTTAAATGGCCAAACTCAGACAGGTACTTTTTGGATTTTCTCCATGATAATTACATTATTGAAAGAATTTACTGATAGTTCCTCAAGTATGTAGTGTTTCAGAACTCAGTTGAATTAGCAGGTTGTTATTATTGTGGAATGTTCATATTGAAGTATTTATGTTTGCCCTTTGGATATACTAGAAGTGTCTTCTTTTAGGGTCTCAGCGAAATGATATATGTAGGAAGCTGATATACAATACAATTTCTCAGAAAATGTTGTTCACTTGGTTTATCTAGTGACACAGTCTGGGCGTCCTTTTGGACCCAGCGCTGTCAATGGAATCTCAGATAGTATCTGTCAGCCTATTTCCATCTCAGGCAGATCATTCAACTGCGTCCCTACCTTGACTGCAGGTCTCTCATGATAGTATCCAGGTTAGATTATTGCAGTGCACTTTATGTGAGGCTGCCTTTGAGTATGATATGGCAACTTCAGTTCCAGAACCGGATGGAGGGTGCAAGAGGTGCTGTCTTGGGGGACAGGCAGCGACCGAGGTGTGCTGCCAGCCCTTTTCCCCAAGCACCCAAGCCACCCCCAAGCGATGCCTGAGAGTGGAGCTGCTCCCAGCCTGTCCTCGAAGAGCACCTCTAAGAGCGCCACCAACAGCAGGGAAGCAGCTCTCTGGCTCTCTTTCTCTCTTGGCACCCCCAGCACCAGTCCGGCCAGCGGCCACCTTAGCACCCGGCGGTGCTTCCTCCTCCTCCTCTTCGTCCTGCTTCAGCCACCTTGGCTATGGAGGCTGCCTGGGCTTGCCTCGCAAAGTTTGCTCCTCTGTTGTTGTGGGGGTAACTGCTGCTGTTGAGTGCACCATTTTGGGGGGGGCCCTCAGAGGAAGGTTGCTGGACCTCCATGTGTGTGTGGGCATGTGCACACGCCCACAAGCATCTGTGGAGGGCCGCCATGTTCTGTTTTATTTCGCGGGTACCGATGGGGGCTTTTCTCCTTTGGTAAGGCGATTCTGTGAGGGTTTTAAAATTTTTTCATGTTGTGCCCTCCTCCCCCCCCGCTAGGCGGTTGCTGGTGCTCCCTCCTCTGCTTCTTCGTCCTGCTGGTGGTGGTGGTGGTAGTGAAGAAGGAGCTGGAGGGGGTCGTGGCTGGTGAGGAGGGCTCATGTGCCCCTCCTCCTCCTCCTCCTCGGAGCCCCAGCCAGGCTAAGGAAACTCCTGGGCGGCTTCCTCGGGCTCTTGCTCGCCTTGGCGGAAAATCTGATGCGGTCCAGCCTCACCCAGCCTCTCCCTCCAGCACCCCCCAGGTAAATTGAGTTTGAGACCCCTGCCTTAATGGTTTGGGATCTCAGGGCATGGCTGACCGCCTTCTTCCAAGTGGAACTGCCCATCCTACCCGTGCTTCCCAAGCTGGATGTTTGAGATTGCCAACACCTAGAGAAGCCCGGAAAGGAGGGGGGACAAGAACCCGGGCCTTTTCTGTGATCCTCCCCCCCAATTATGGAATGAACTTCCAATAAGCAGCAGGCTTTTCCCAGGTGTGCCTTGCTTCCAGATATTCAGCATAACTGCTAAGTGACTTAAGTACATAAACTTGGTGAAGTTCCAATATACACATTGATTTAGAGTCAAGGATTAGAATGTGTACATTCAGGGTATATAAATATGTCTGTACTGTATATAGTGTACAACGCTACTCACTTTGCAAAATTCCTCAGATCTTCAGATAAGGCTAGGGAAGAATTCTGCCTGAAACGAAAGAGCTACTGCCAGTTAATGTCAACAATAGTGGGTCAGTGATCTGATTCAGTATGACAACAGTGGCTCCCAAACCTGGGCCCCCAGATGTTCTTGGACTACAACTTCTAGAAATCCTGATTAGCACAGCTAGTGGTGAAGGCTTCTGGAAGTTTTAGTCAGTGAACATCTGGGTAGCCAAGGTTGGGAACCACTGCAGTATAAGACAGCTTCCTATATACAGTGGTGCCTCTTATAACGAGTGCCTGTTTAACGATGAATCCGCATACCGATGCGGATTTTGCGATCGCAAAAGCGATCGCATACCGATAGCCCCTATGGGGAAAAATCGCTTTGTGATTTTTTCCCCATAGGCACCATTTCCCCCCAGCTGGGCGGCGCTTGCCTCCGAGCGCCGGAGGTGGACGCTTCCCCGGAGGTTGCTCTGAAGGCAGCACCGCCCATCTAGGCGGTGCTGCCTTCAAAGCAACCTCTGGGGAACGCCGGTGGAGGCTGAGGTTGCTCTGAAGGCAGCGCCGCCCAGCTGGGAGGAGCAGCCTTCAGAGCAACGTCCGGGAAAGCGTCCACTGCCGGTGCTCGGAGGCAAGCCCCGGCCAGCTGGGGGGAGAAGGCGGCGAAGGTTCAGGGCACCCACAGTGGACGCTTCGCCGGAGGTTGCTCTGAAGCCTGGCTTCAGAGCAACCTCCGGGGAAGCCTCCACTGCGGGGGCTCTGAACCTTCTGCCTCCAGCTGGGCGGCGCAACCTGCGGGGAGGCGTCCACAGCCGAAGCAAGCGCCGCCCAGCTGGGGGGAAATGGCTGCCCGCAGCATTTTCGCGCCTTGCTTACCGAGGCGGCGAAAATGGCAGCCGGATCGGGATTCTTCGCTTACTCGTGAGTTTTCCCCCAATAGGAACGCATTAAACGGAGTTTAATGCGTTCCTATGGGTTTTCCCCTCCCACATAGTGAAGAATCGGGATAGCGACGTTAATCCTGGAACAGATTAACGTCGCTATGCGGGGCACCACTGTATCCTGTAATTATTGTATTGTATCTCCATAATATGGGTCCTGGTCCTCTTATATTATTACATGGTGACTTTATATTTTTTTTCTTTATGTTTGAAGGATCTGAGCAGTGTTTGGAGCTACTGAACAACTAGTCAGTCAGTCAAACCCTTTATTGGCATACACCAGAAAATCAGATACACAAGATAACAAACAAACTTAATTAACTGAATCTACAATTTTATTATGTATTAGTCTGCATCTCCTCACTATCTGGTTCAAAAAGACCCTCACATACTCCACTATAACTGACTCTCCTGTTGACAGACTATACCTCAGTGTGTCACAATCTGAAAAGCCCCTCTTATTTAACAAACATGGCTCTAAATGTTTTCTGCAGATAGATTTTTTATTGTCCATAGAATGGACAATACAAAATCATGTGACAGAGTGACTCCACCCAGCAACAACTAGATTACTTATGTTCCTACTTTTCCTTTGGTAGGGAATGCAAACATCTTTGGAATTGCAGATGATTCTGAACTTCTTCGACCAGCTCTTAGGAGAAGACCACGGATAGGTAAGTGCTAATGTTTTAGCACTCTAATAAAAATGACTGTTTCATTTATTAAAAAAATGTTTTCTCTAAGGTCATCTACAGTTAAATTTTTAAAATTAATGAAGGTATTAAAATATCACATGTCAGCAAAGTTAAAAAGAAAAGAAAAAAGTATTTTAAAAACAGAGCAAAGGTAGTAGATTTAAAATTATTTCAAAGCCATGCAAATCAATAACTTTTTAATGGCCTGCCGAAAACTGAACAAATAAGGTGTTTGTCTGATCTGTATGGAGAGAGTTTCATAGTCTCAGTACCACCATACTTTGTGTTCCCACTGACTTACCATGTTGTACATATTATATGAATGATTCTCATTGTGGTGTAGTGTATAGAGAAATGGACCAAGTCCCTGGAGAACATAATTCAAATCCCCATTTGACCATGGAAACTCACTGGGGGAGTGGAAGTGATAAAACCACTCCTTAAATATATCACTTACCTTGAAAGCCCTATTAGGGTTATAAGTCAGTTCTGATTTGACGGCACAGAACACACACATGCATATATGGTGGTGCCTCACTTAACGACGATAATCCATTCCAGGAAAATCGCTGTTAAGCGAAAATGTCGTAAAACGAAATTTAAAAGCCCATTGAAACTCATTGAAAACCGTTCAATGCGTTCCAATGGGCTAAAAACTCGCCGTCCAGTGAAGATCCTCCATACGGCGGCCATTTTCGCTGCCTGTATAGTGAGGAATCCGTCCCTAAGCACAGTGGGGAGCCATTTTAAGCACCTGGCGGCCATTTTGAAAACCCGACGATCAGCTGTTTTTGATCGTCGTAAAGCGAAAATTGGTTCCCGAAGCAGGGAACTGATCATCACTAAGTGAAATTCCCCCATTTAGACCATTGTTTTGCGATCGCAATTGCAATCGCAAAAACATCGTCTTAAACGGATTCGTTGTAATGTGGGGTAATCGTTAAGCGGAGCATGGCTGTATTATATGCTAATACATAAAAGGCTTGTTAGTAAATATTAATGTTTGCAATGGCTTTGGAACTTGAAGAGTGTTTTGTTTAGCCATCTGTTTTAAGAAATTAGCTGCCTAGAGTGGTCGTATTGACCAGATAGACGGGGTATAAATAGAATGAATGAATGAATGAATGAATGGATGAATGAATGAATGAATGAATGGATGAATGAATGAATGAATGAATGGATGAATGAATGAATGAATGAATGGATGAATGAATGAATGAATGAATGGATGAATGAATGAATGAATGAATGGATGAATGAATGAATGAATGAATGGATGAATGAATGAATGAATGAATGGATGAATGAATGAATGAATGAATGGATGAATGAATGAATGAATGAATGAATAAATAAATAAATAAATAAATAGATAGATAGATAGATAGATAAATTGATAAGCAGATACTGATTTTAAATTTGTTTTTATTTTTTATTTTATATTTATTTATGCTACTAAAATAGAATTTTGCACTGGCTTGTAAGAATGAAAGCTATAGCTTATTACAAGAACAAAGGTAGCCATGTTAGTTCGTAAGAACAAATCTAAACCAAATATACAGGTGGGTAAAAAACTATTACAACCATTCTGCAAAAGTGTGACATTTTTAGATTCTTCGGAATTTTTAATCAAGCTACCTGATAATGTCCATCTGTGGACTTTGGTTCTGCTGAGGCAAAAGCAGCTTTGTTTTTGTGGATTATGTGAAGTTTTACTTCCCCAGATAACAGACTCCCTTTAAATATACCTCAATAGATTGATAACTCATACATAATTTCTATTTAGATAGGAATTTTTTGTGACCAAGCCAGAGATTTAGCAGTGAATAAAACAGGTAGTATTTCTCCTTTGAATTCTATGCCATACAGACCAATGTGTTGTGGTGTAAGCTTTTCTGCAAGGAATTAGCACTCTAATTTTTTTTTTAGAAGATGAAGCAGATGAAGAGGAAAGTGAGAACAAATCCGAAATTGGAAATACTATACATCAGCTGACTAATAGATACAGGTTTGCGAAAGGTAGCAGTTATCTTCCCTTTTCCTCATTGTTATTTTTATTTAACCTGTAGTTTTCTAGAAATCCAGGCAATGGACAAGCATAGGGCCAGACATTGACTCACTGCAGCACAATATTGTTGTCTGGTCGTTTAGTTGTGTCCAACTCTTCATGACCCCATGGACCAGAGCATGCCAGGCCCTCCTATCTTCCACTGCCTCCCGTAATTGTGTCAAATTCACGTTGGTTGCTTTGCAGACACTGTCCAAACATCTTGTTCTCTGTCGTCTCCTTCTCCTCTTGCCTTCACACTTTCCCAAGATCAGAGTCTTTTCCATGGAGTCTTCTCTTCTCATGAGATGGCCAAAGTACTGGAGCCTCAGCTTCAGGATCTGTCCTTCCAGTTGGTACTCAGGGTTGATTTCCTTCAAAATGGAGAGGTTTGTTCTCTTTGTAGTCCAGGGGACTCTCAAGAGCCTCCTCCAGCACCACAATTCAAAAGCATCAATTCTTCGACGGTCAGCCTTCTTTATGGTCCAGCTCTCACTTCCATACATCACTACTGGAAAAAACATAGCTTTGACTATGTGGACCTTTGTCAGCAAGGTGATGTCTCTGCTTTTTAAGATGCTGTCTAGGTTTGTCATCGCTTCCCTCCCAAGAAGCAGGCATCTTTTAATTTAATGGCTGCTGTCACCATCTGCAGTGATCATAGAGCCCAAGAAAGTAAAATATGACACTGCCTCCATATCTTTCCCTTCTATTTGCCATGAAGTGATGGGACCGGTGGCCATGATCTTTATTTTTTTTTTTTATGTTGATCTTCAGACCAGTTTTTGCACTCTCCTCTTTCACCCTTATTAAGAGGTTCTTTAATTCCTCCTCACTTTCTGCCATCAGAGTGGTATCATCTGCATATCGGAGGTTGTTGATATTTCTTCCGGCAATCTTAATTCCGGTTTAGGATTCCTCCAGTCCAGCCTTCCGCATGATATATTCTGCATATAAGTTAAATAAGCAGGGGGACAATATATAGCCTTGTCGTACTCCTTTCCCAATTTTGAACCAATCTGTTGTTCCATATCCAGTTCTAACTGTTGCTTCCTGTCCCACATATAGGTTTCTCAGGAGATAGATAAGGTGGTCAGGCACTTCCATTTCTTTAAGGACTTGCTATAGTTTGCTGTGGTCCACACAGTCAAAGGCTTTTACATAGTCAATGAAGCAGAAGTAGATATTTTTCTGGAACTCTCTGGCTTTCTTCATAATCCAGCGCATGTTAGCAATTTGGTCTCTAATTCCTCTGCCTCTTCGGAATCCAGTTTGTACTTCTGGGAGTTCTCGGTCCACATATTGCTGAAGCCTACCTTGTAGGATTTTGAGCATAACCTTGGTAGGGTGTGAAATGAGTGCAATTGTACGGTAGTTGGAGCATTCTTTGGCACTGCCGTTCTTTGGGATTGGGATGTAGACTGATCTTTTCCAATCCTCTGGCCACTGTTGAGTTTTCCAAACTTGCTGGCATATTGAATGTAGCACCTTAACAGCATCATCTTTTAAGATTTTAAATAGTTCAGCTGGAATGTCATCACCTCCACTGGCCTTGTTGTTAGCCAGGCTTTCTAAGGCCCACTTGATTTCACTCTCCAGGATGTCTGGCTCAAGGTCAGCAACTACATTGTCTGGGTTGTCCGGGATATCCAAATCTTTCTGATATAATTCTTCTGTGTATTCTTGCCACCTCTTCTTGATGTCTTCTGCTTCTGTTAGGTCCCTCCCATTTTTGTCTTTTATCATGTTCAGCTTTGCACAAAATGTTCCTCTAATATCTCCAATTTTCCTGAACAGACCTCTGGTTTTTCCTTTTCTGTTATTTTCCTCTATTTTTTTTTTGCATTGTTCATTTAAGAAGGCCCTCTTGTCTCTCCTTGCTATTCTTTGGAAGTCTGCATTCAATTTTTCTGTAACTTTCACTATCTCCCTTGCATTTTGTAGTACAGTATAGTGTAGATGAAATAAGTATCTCCAGCAACTGTTGTGCAGTGCATGAGACTGGATCCAGGCCTGTTATTAATAGTGAAACTTGTATAGTCTGTCTCTCAGTCGTATATCCAAGTGCTTAAGTGTGTCCACCATCAGTGTTCTGGGGACCAGTTTTGTCACCCCAGGATCTGGCATGGGCCATAATCCATACCCAGCTGCAAATCAAACACAAGTTACAGTGCTGAAATTTTGCTTGCTTTAAATACATCACAGTCAGCCCTTGACTTACGAACGGCCTGAGTTACGAGCATTTTGACTTACCAACCGCTCTCATAGGAAAATAATGACTTGACTTATGAACTTAGATTTGAGTTACGAACTGAAAAAAACCACACGGGAGGGCGGGAATGCGCGAAATTTGAACTTTCAGTTAACCGTTGGCCAGTGAAGAGGGTGCCTGTCTGCTTCCTCGCTCTTCCCAGCGTTTAGAGAGTGGATTGGGAGACAGTCTTCAGACTGCCTGGTATTGCCTGGACTGTATTTTTATTTTTTGGCAATTTTGGGGTTTTTGGATTTTGGATTTTTTTCTTTTTGACATTTTTTTTAAGCAGAGTGACTGCCTGTTCTGGGTGAGTACACTGTATGTTTTTACTTTACTGTATGTACTGTACAGGGTTTTTTGCAGTTTGGTGGGGGGGTAGGGCTAGGTGTGGGGGGGNNTTGCAGTGTTTTAAAATGTCTGTGCCTGTGGTTAAAATATTCTTTGAGTGTATGTGCTGTTTGTTCAGGAAGGCAGGCATTTTTGTGCTGGAGGAATGGTTACTGGATTGCTATGCCTTGCTGTGGGGGGTATGTTTCTGTGCTCTTATGGGTCTTGCAGTGTGGACGTGGATCCAGAGTCTTTTAAAATCAGAAAATATTCTTTGAGTGCACTTTTGTGCTGGAAGAATGGTTGCTGGATTGCTATGCCTTGCCGTGGGGGGTTCTGTTACTGTTCTCTGGTGGGTCTTGAATTGTTTTAAAATGTCTGTGCCTGTGCTTAAAATATGGATCCAGAGACTTTTTGTGCTGGAGGAATGGTTGCTGGGTTCTGTGCTTGTCTCAGCTTGTCTTGTTTGAAAAGGTGCTTTTCAAGGTGTTCTGTTGTCTGAAAGGTGCTTTGTTTAAAATGTGTTCCCTCCCTCCTTTGCTGCCCCCTTTCCCCCCAAAAGGTGCTTGTCTTGGCTTGTCTTGATTGAAAGGGTGCTTTTCAAGGTGTTCAGTTGAAAAGGTGTCTGTTCCCTCCTTCCCTCCATCTTCTTTTCTTTCTTTCTTTTTTAACCTAAGTCATTTTAGGTTAAGAGGAAAAAAAATCTGCCCCTAGTGGTAGGAATGGATTAACCAGCTTTGCATTAGTTCCTATGGGAACAAATTCTTTGACTTACAAACCATGGCTTGACCTAAGAATCAAAAACAGCTTGAACGGATTAATTGGTTTTCAATGCATTCCTATGGGAAATGCTGATTTGACTTACAAACTTTCTTCCGGAATGGATTAAGTTTGTAAGTCAGGGGTTGACTGTATAGAGATTTGCTACTGAAATTTAGTAGAAAGCTGGATAAAGCCATTTAAAGAAAGATTGTGCTTGCTTTAAATGAGGTTTATCTATTTGCCACCTAAAATCCATGGCAAACCACTACAACTAAGGCATTTGCTTCTTTAAATGAGGTTCCTCCTAGATCCTGCTAAATTTTGGTGGCAGTTTTCCAAGATGTTGGATAGGGAAATAATAGGAGCCACATGTGACTGGAAGGCTGCATGATTCCCATACTTGCTGTAATGTAATTATATGTGTTTTCTCTCTGCACTTCTTTTTATTATTAGATGCACAATTTTTTGCTCAAAAGCCACAAGGTCTTGATCCACAGACACATGTAAGAACCAGGACACAAAGTATGTATACAGCTGCCACCTGTGCCCATGACAGAGTAACTTGTTTGCGTTTTATTTTATATTTTATACTCCTACGTTTGGACTAAAATTAAGTTTGTTCTTCTTCTAATAAGTATTTATAGGATTTGAACACGATAATAGTAAGTCTCTATTTTTGGGTTAGAGATCAGTGTGTATTGACTGCTCTGTACTTTTATAGTGTCTGTAGTATTGCAATAGAACTTAGATTTTGAATTTCTAAATTTAATTATAATAAACAATACATTTTATAGGCAAAATTGTATAATGCATTTCATTATTTTAATTGTAGAATAAATTTAGAATAGTCAAAATCCAGATTTCAATTCTTACCCTACATACCATTCCTGTGCCTGTCTAGGAGAGCAAAGAAGTTTTTGGAAGAAATCTTGAAACCTCTAGCAGGTGTTTATTAATTTGAAGATTAATTTTTGAATTTATTTTTTTTTGAAAGAGAATTTGAAGAATGTTGGCCAGCTTCCTGGATGCGATGCAGAACCACATGTCTCTGTGACTAGATTGTCTGGTCTGCTTATCTGTCTCTAGAGAGGACACTTTATAATATATATTCACTTTGTTGAGTTATTGCTGAAATCATGGTGCTTTGCTATGCATGTGGAAGACAAAAGGCAGGGACCCTATGGATCATTTGAGTCCAAGGAAGCGCAGTGGGGAATCAAACTCTGAACCTCTGCAGCCAGGTACCCAAAGCATTGAGCTATCCAGTAGCTCCAAGTATGTATTTGGTATTCTTAATAATAAAACTGTTGATAGTTGGTTTTAGAATAATGGTTTGGGTTATCAGATTAATTTATTCTTTCTGCTTTTAATTCCAGTTTATGTACAGAAGAAACATCTACCAGTGACTTCCAAAAGTAAGATTCTCCCCCAAACTCTCACTGTCTGTGATTGTAGTCAGGTTGGTTAATCTTGCCAAGAAACATACAAATTTGGTTTACTTGTTCTCAGATATTTGTGGAAGGTCTAATTCTTTAATAGCATGACAGATTTGTTTGTTCCCCTGAACTGACTGTTTTCTTCATCTATTTTGAATGTGTAGCTCTTGAAAGATGGTCTAGTGACAAGATGCAGATGATTTGTGAAAGGAAAATTATTTCTTTCCATGAAGTAGGGAATAAGAGCAGAAAACATAAATCTTATCCTTAAGAAGTAGTAAGCAGTTCAGATGGATGAACAGGCACTTTCTGAATACCAAAGCAAATGTAAAGTAGAAAATTTCATTTAAAATGAGAAAAAATGGAATTAAAGATTTTAATTGTATCCCCATATTTCCAATTTTGTGAGGAGATAACTAACTTAGGATTATTTCTGGTGACTTCAGTTAACAGAGATAAGATAGTGTTCAGTTGATAAGGCATGTGGTTTGAGTACAGAGATCTTGTAACCTCTGGCTGGGAAAGATCTGGATTGAAACCTAGGAGAGCCATTGACTGTCAATACAGGCAATAATGGACTAGAAGGACCAGTGTACAATGCAGGATAAAACAGCTGAACCCATTGGAGTCGATGTAGTGTTCTGGAAGTGGAGTAAAAATGGCATTGAGTTACAGTACGGACTTACTGAAGGAATCATTCTGGATCATTTTAAAAAGGCAGGGAGAGAGAGAGAAAGAGAAATTCAGCTGCTACAGTAATTTGCCTAAAAGAAGCCAGATCAAAATACCAAGTCTTCACACTGAGGCAGAACAAGGTTCAACATCATGGAAGTACTTGTCAAGTTTTACCCTGAATAAGAAATTCCTTCTGAGTAGCTTTAAACAGGAGGTTGGTTCCATCCATCCAGCAATCTTTGCAGATATTATTAACTTGTGTTGGTGAGGAGAATTTAGAGTTCAATCATTTCATGGGGCTAATTGACTATATTAAGTTTTGACATAAGCAGGTACAAATAACAACCTTGGGGCGTTAATTAACGTTCTTCTCATCTGTCTCCTTCATCTCCCATCTTCCTTATATGTGTGTGCACTAGGTTCTGAACAGTCTGATGGAAAACATTCATTTATAAGACTTTGGATACTTGTAGTAGCTTGCATTGCTACTGGTGGATGGTATGTATTCCAGTATTCGTCATCTTGTTCCCTAGAAACTGATAAGGCCCTGCAAGCATTTCAAAATCAGATGAAAGAGCTCATGAGCAGCTACCCAAGTCAAGATGAAAGGATGTGGAAGAGAATCCAAACTACCTTTGAAAAACATCTCAACTCATCTCAGCCTCATATGGAGCCAGCCATCTTATTACTTACTGCTGCAAAAGAAGCTGAAGATGTCCTGAAATGTTTAAGCAACCAGATTGCTGATGCTGTCTCCTCTTCTCAAAGTGCTGCCACAATTAAAATAGATGGAGCAAGCAAAGCTACTCTGGACAGTGATGTTGTCAAACTAATTGTGGATGAACTATTAAGCTCTGGGTTCAAGGGAGGCAAAAAGGCAGCAGTAGTGCATCGATTTGAGTCACTACCTGCAGGTTCCACACTGATCTTTTACAAGTACTGTGACCATGAAAATGCAGCATTTAAGGATGTGGCTCTTCTCTTAACTGTTCTCCTAGATGATAAGTTTCTACAAAGGAGCCTTAGCCTTCTGGATGTAGAGGTAAAAGTAAGGGATTTCCTCAGGGTTAAGTTTACCAACTCAAGCATGCCAGGTTCTTATAACCACATGGATATAGACAAACTGAGTGGATTGTGGAGCCGCATTTCCCATCTGGTCTTGCCTGTGTGGCCTGAAAACATCCTCCCTCAGGAGAAGTGCTTGCAGCTCAAATAATTTAATCGAATAAAAGAACAAGATGGGAAATACAATGAAGTGTCTATATGTGTTACTGTTTGAACTGAGTGAGGATTTATTGCTTGTTTATTGGAACTGCCTGTTTAAATATGCAGTTTAGAGGTAAAAACAGGAGGGAAATAATCTGAATATTTGTTTCAAGAACTTGTAGAACATGAACACAGCTCTGAATTCCCACTCCTGTAATTCTTAGAATCCAGGATCCTGCCGCTTTTGGTGGAGAGGGAAAGGAATCTTTATAGTTATGGTTATCCACCTATGTGAAGATACTTATATAAATCTTTTTAGAGAATGTTGTGTTCAGGAGCTATAGAGTAAGGAAGCTTAATATAGATGAATACTTGCTTTTACCAACTTGCAGTGTACCAGAATAAACTGGAAAATCAAAGCTGCGACCAAAATCTGTATCTCAAAACAGGTCTGTCTTCCTTTGTTTACCAAGATGAGGGGATTGACAAAATCCATTACTGCATGGCCCTGGTACCAGATTTGCTTGTGTTCAGTCAGATCTTACAGCTCGACATAACAAGACAGTCTTAAACTTTCAGTTGGAGTAGCAGACCTTGTCTAACCCACACTTTCTTTCTTTTGGAAATAATCTGCAGATGCATGATAGGCACCTGTTAATTACCCTAATTTTGAAATTGCTGTTCAGTTCTGGTAATGATCCCTTTTTTGATGCAGTATTACAGGGCTTTTCAGTCTGTCTTGGCCAACTGGCATAGGCTTCCTTCATGAGCAGGAGCTCCGTGTGAAAAAGGGATCAGATATTTTCCTGAGGGCACATTTTGCACCTACACTGCCTAACCAGGACAAAAAAAACCACTTTACTTGGGTTAACTCTGGCACTGTGAAAGTGTTGACTTTAATCAAAAGATGGAAGCGCATTGGATGCTAGTGTGCTTTAAAATGACTTTTGAGGTCTGTTCTTGAAATAATTCACTCATCAGAAAGATACATGAAGACAGCGTTTAAAATATTATTTTGAATAAATTTAGATGAATAATATTTTTATGGAGGACTTGTGTATTGCATAAATTAAGACATAGATCATTACGCCTTGTTAGTTTAGTATTCTGCAGACTTGCAAATTTACATGTAAATCTTCATCTGCCAATTTGTAAAGTGTCTAATAAATTTTGAAGGTCTTATTCCAAGTTGTCCTACAGATTAAATTGCCAGGGAAGTATTGGGATGCGCTGAGCAAAGCAGGGGTACAACCAGCCTCCAAGGTCCTCTTAGAGAAGAAAAACACAAGACCAGCTTCTTCCTTAAAGCTGATATTACATATGTACATACCTTATTTGCTGCCGTACAAGGCGACTGGGAGTATTAGACGACCCCCCCCAACATCCACTCAAAATCCACTCTGCTGTGGTGCCGCCGGCGGCTGTCCGGGGCTCTGCCTGGGCCCGCCCTAGAAGTTCATGGCCGGCGAGGACGAGGGCGAGAAGGAAAGGGCAAGAGGGCGGGCAGCAGAGGACGGGAAGGAGGAGCAGCTCTCCGGTGGCACGCAGGCAAGCGGGCAAGCTGGCTCATCTGCTAGGGCAGAAGGGAAGGGAAGCGGGCGGGGCGGCAGAAGGAGGGGAAGGAGGAGCAGCTCTCCAGTGGCGCACAGGCAAACGGGCGAGCTGGCTCAACTGCTAGGGCAGAAGGAAAGGGAAGTGGGCAGTGGTGGCAGAAGGAGGGGAAGGAGAAGCAGCTCTCCGGTGGTGCGCAGGCGAGCATACTCAGCGGTGCAGGGCAGCGGGCTCTGGCCACTCAGGCATGGCCGGCTCTGC